CATAGATATACGAGGTGCGATCGAAAGGTTTCCAGACTGCGCGTATAAAAACCCGTACACTTATCTCAGGTATTAAATTCATCCATCACCCTCGAAGTAGTTCCCCTGGGAGTGAACACAACGATCCCAGCGCTGCTGCCAAGCCTGGAAGCAACCCTGGAAATCTTTCTTTGTCAGCCTGTCAAGCACCATCTGCGATTCTGCCTGAATCTCTTCTATCGTCTCAAATCTCCTTCCCTTTAGCTGAATTTTCATCTTTGGGAAGAGGAAGAAGGCACACGGCGAATAAGGAGGGTGCGGGATGACGGCCATGGTGTTTGAGGCCAAAAACTGCCGAACTGCTTCTGGTCCTCAGACAGGAGCCTTGGCACAAACTTGGCTGCGATGCGTCGCATGTGGAGTTCTTCCTTTAGAATCAGCGGACAGGTCCCATAGCCTATCCCAACAATGTCGCACAAGTTGTTGATGGTACGACGTCGATCTTCGTAACAGTTTCGGGCGTTGTGCTCGAAGATGGTCGGCCAGAACGCTCGTCATCATCGACAGAGGTTCGGCCATTTTTAAAACGTGAATGCCACACAAAAGTTTGTGCACGACCCATTGCGGACTCCCCAAATGCTTGCTTTAGCATTTCATAGGTTTCCGTAGCCGTTTTGGCGAGTCTTTGGCAAAAGTTGATGCACACGCCATTCCGAAATCGCAGGAGGGTCGGTGTAATGCACTACCAAAACGCCCGTAACTAAGAAACAAATGCTAATTCGATGATGCCGGCTGGCACACTGATTCACTATGAATGTAGGCCGCACCCCCTAGCGGCAGAAGCTCGTACTACATCCGGTTCGCCCTCTATTGACACAGTCTGGAAACTTTCCGATCGCACCTCGTATATGTACCATTATATGAATATTAAAGCCTTTATTTAAACTTTCAGTCGGGTATCATTTCGTGCGCCACTCTGTAGTATTTACAATTAAGTGTTGGTGGATGCTGTGGTTGTAAATTTTGAGGCCAGTACAAGAGAATAGGTGACCACAAGTAAAAATAAACAATCAACTTTTATCCGATAAATCAGGTTTACATAGTGTTAATTGCTAGGTTATTTAATTATAAATAATTAAACTTGCAGCATATCACTTGTTACTAGACCCTGTGGTTGCATCACTAAGCAGCTGGTTTGTGTAACTCAATTGTACACATCAGTATGAAAGAAAAATCTTGGGAATCACAGTATTAAAGACCTACTGCTGTTACTAGTTTAGTCTTGGTCCCACAGATATAGAACATTGATGTACCCATTATCAGTGGTGGGCTCACAAGTTACCATAGAGCTGTCTGAATGCCTTCAGTGCGTGTGTGGTTTCTTCTGTGAGGTGTTAAGTGGATAAGATATGTCTTTCAAAACACCTGACTGAGAATAATGTATTTTTATTTTGGGTGTAGGCCTGATTTGTATATTTTATCTTGCTCTGGAACTCCCAGGAATTTTACTAATATGGCCAGTTTTGCCTGCTTTAACCCGTCGACGTGGTGGTTTAAATACCCCGCATATACCGCTGTCGTGCTGTTCCGGAAGTAGTATTTTTTAAATGCCCGTTTAAATTTTGCTGTAAAATTCTCTTTTTTCATAACTTTTGAACTATATGAGATATAATTATGAATTTTTCACTGAAATCCTCTTAAAAGATGGTTTTATAATCTTACCTTATAAGATGAGATGTGTGAGCAGTGGAAGCAAGTCGATTAGAAGTTTAGTTTCAGAAAAAAACGGAGTGTACAACAGCCGGTTCTTTGAATAGTAAGATCTAAGTGTAGACTTTTGCACAATGCACATCAACATAAATAGAGCCAAAAGAACGTAAATTTCGTCCACTGTAACATCTTGCCACTTCCTAATCCTAGAGCGAAATGTGAGAGGAT